TTTTGATTTAATTTTTGTGATGATGAGAGATAGGGGTCAAGTTTCATTCTTCTGCAATATGGATACCCAATGTTTCATGCACCATTTATTGAAGAGACTCTCCTTTCCCCAATGCATGCTTTTGGTACCTTTGTCAAAATGAGTTTACTTAGTATGTCTGTATAGATTTATTTCTGGATTCTCTATCTTGTTCCGTTGGTATATGTGTCTGTTTTTATACCACTGTCATGCTGCTTTAATTGCTATGGATCTTCTACAGTATAATTTTAAATCTGATAATGTGGTTTCTCTGGTTTGGTTTTTTGTGTTGTTTTTTTTTTTTTCCCCTCAGGATAACTTTGAATGTTTCAGGCCCTTATGGTTTCTTGTACATTTTAATTTATTTTTATTTTTGTTAAGAACGTCATTGGTATTTTGACAGGGATTCCATTGAATCCATAAATTGCTTTCAGTAGTATGGACATTTTAACAATATTGCTTTTTTCCATTCATAAATGTAGAATACCTCTTCATTTTTTTGTGTTTCTTTTAGTGTCCTGCATCATTGTTTTATATTTTTAACTGTGAAAATATTTCATTTATTTGGTTAAGTTTATTCCTAGTTACTTTATTTTATTTGTAGCTATTTTAAATAAGATTACCCTCTTGATTTCTTTTTCAGATTGTTCACTGTTGGTATATAGAAATACTACTGATTTGGGCCAGGCGCGGTGGCTCACGCCTGTAATCCCAGCACTTTGGGAGGCCGAGGCGGGTGGATCACAAGGTCAAGAGATCAAGACCATCCTGGTCAACATGGTGAACCCCATCTCTACTAAAAATACAAAAAATTAGCTGGGCATGGTGGCGTGTTGCCTGTAATCCCAGCTACTGAGGAGGCTGAGGCAGGAGAATTGCCTGAGCCCAGGAGGCGGAGGTTGCAGTGAGCCTAGATCGTGCCATTGCACTCCAGCCTGGGTAACAAGAGTGAAACTCCGTCTCAAAAAAAAAACAAAAAAACAAACAAAAACAAAAAAAAACAAAAAAAAACAAATACTACTGATTTTTGCATATTAATTGTTTATCCTGAAACATTACTGAGTTTATCAGCTCTAATGGTTTGCAGTTGCATCTTTAGGGTTTTTCAAATATAAGATTATATCATCTGCAAACAAAGATAATTTAACTTCTTACTTTCCAATTTGGATGTGTTTTTATTTCTTCTCTAATGTCTGATTTCTCTAGCTGGGACTTCCTGTACTATGTTGAGTAACAGCGGTGAAAGTGGGTATCCTTGTCCTATCCAATATGTACGAGGAGATGGTTCAGTGTTTCCCCATTCAGTGTGACACTTGCTGTCGGCCTGTAGTACATGGCATTTATTATGTTGGTGCTTGTTTCTTCTGACCAAGTTTTCTGAGGGTTTGAGGATTTCTATCATGAAGGGATGTTGAATTTCATCAAATGTTTTTTCAGGATCAGTTGAAATGTTCTTGCTTTTGTTCTTAATTCTGTTGAGATGATGTATCACATTGCCTAATCTGTTTATTTTGAGACATCCTTGCATCCCTGAGATGAATCCTACTTGGTCATGATAAAAAATCTTTTTAATATGGTGTTGAATTCAGTTTGCCAGTATTTGTTTAAGATTTATGCATCAATGTTCATCAGAGATATTGACCTGTGGTTTTCTTTTTTCTTTTCTTTTTTTTTTTAAATGTGTCTGTCTGATTTTGGTATTAGGGTAATACTGGCCTTATAGAACGAGTTTGGAAGTATTCTCTCCTTTATTTTTTGGAACACTTTAAGTAAAATTGGTGTCAGTTCTTTAGCAGTAAAGCCTATGAGTCTGTGGTTTTTCTTTGTTGGGAGGCTGTTTATTACAGCTTCTATCTCTTTTATCTTATGGGCTATTCAAGTTTTACATTTCTTCATGGTTCAATCTGGGTAGATTGTGTGTTTCTAGAAATTTATTCATTTCTTTAAGGTTTTCCCATTTATCAGCAGATTGTTGCTCAAAGTAGTTTCTAATTATCCATTGAATGTCTGTGGAATCAGTTGTAATGTCTCTTTTTTTCATCCCTGATTTTATTTATTTGGGTCTTCTCTCGTTTCTTCTTAGTCTAACTGAATATTTGTTGATTTTGTTTATCTTTTCGAAAAGCCAACTTTTTATTTCTTTGATATTTTGTACTTTTTTGTTTGAATTTATTTCTGCTCTAATCTTTATTATATACTTTCTTCTGTTAATTCAGGGTTTGGTTGACTCTTGCTTTTGTAGTTCTTTAGGATGCATATTTAGGTTGTTTATTTGAAGTTTTTCTAATTTTTTTTATGTGGGCAGTTATTGTTATAAACTTTCCTCTTGTTACTTCTTTTGCTGTACCCCATAGATCTGAGTATGTCATGTTTCCATTTTTATTTGTTTACCAGAAATTTTTAATTTTTTTCTTAATTTCTTCATTGATACTCTTGGTGGGTCAAAGTCCCACTATCATTGTGCTCTCTCCTTACAAAGCATTCAGATTTTCTGCCACACAGCCACTACCACTGGGTGGATCACTGAAGAAATTACACAAACTTTTCCAAGTGTTTATATAGTTTCCAAAGTTTCTCTTGGCTCTCTAGCCCACCGTGACCAAGCTGGTTCCTCCTAATTTTCCATCTTCTTTCCTATAGCAGGAGTTTCTCACTATGGCCCCTAAACTGAGAATATGCTGGGTCCCATCTGCAGCCAGCATGGCCCTTGTTCTCACCAAAGGCCTATGGCAAGTACTACCTGGTTACCACTGATGATTATTTTGAGACCCAGTGGTCCTTAGTCAAAAGGTGATGAATCTTGCCAGGACTAGGTTCTTCTTTTCAAGGCAGCAGATTTCCTTGGCTCAGCTGTGCCTAGAAATGTCATGCAAAAGCTAGGACTTAAATGGTGGCCCAAGACCTCTGCCTGGTGCTCTATTCTGCTGTGCCTAAACTGGTACCCATATTGCAAGACAAAATCCTCTTTACTCTTTCCTTTCCTCTCTTCTAGCAGAAAAAAGGAGTCTCTCCTGGAGCTGTGAGCTACACTGCCTGGGACTGATAGAAACATTCGCTTGGCTGTCCCAGCTGGTGTCTCACTAGATCACATGCACCCCAAGTCCCCTGGCTCTGAGCCCAGAACTGCACCAGTACTTGCCCATGAATTGCAGTCTTTGTGGCCTATATAGCCTTTTACATTTCTTTAGGATCCCAGATCACTTTAGCCCATGGTGGTGGAACTAACCATAAGACAAGTTATGACTACTGGAATAGATTATTTCTTTCTTGTAAGGGCTGGCCTAAATGCTGACGTGATGAGTGTTGGCTGAATTCTGTACTGGTTTGCTTTTTGCTATGACAAGGCAACACTGAACTCCAGTGCAAAGTACCTCTATCACTGTACTTTCTCTTCAACGAGCACACAGATTTTCTCTCTATGCCATATGGCCATGACAAGGGGGTTGGAGGGGCATGGTGCTGATGATTTAGGAGAGTCTCTCTCTCATGTTCTTCAGCACCTCTTTCTTTGATGCAATGCTAAAACCAGGTACTATGAATACTCATATAATTTGGGGTTATTATGAAGGTATTTGTGTGTATGTGTGTAAAAAATTGTTCGATTTGAGGATTTTGCAGTGGGGGACCATTGTTGGAGGGTTCTATTTGGCTACCTGGCTCCACCTCTCTTTTTAGTGTTTTTTTTTTTTCTCTCTAAATAAATTTAGTGAGGCATACTAATATACCAAATAATTTACCCAATTAAATAAATAACAATATCTTTTAAAAATTAATTTACCGAGTGTTAAAATCACTACTGTAATTCAGTTTTAGAACAATTTTTTTTTATCACTATGATTAGGTTATGTATGCCATTTTACTGTTAGTCACCATTCCCTGTACCTCCTATTCCAGGGAACCACTACTATAATTTCTGTCTCTGTAGATTTACTTTAAGTCATTTCATACAAATGGAACTGTATAGTATGTGTGCTTTGTTAATGGCTTCTTTAATTTGGTATCATTATTTCAAGGATCATTTATACTGTAGTATGAGTCAGTACTTAGTTCTTTTTATCCATGGATAATATCCCATTAATTGAATATGAATGATATTTTTATGCTACTTTTATTTATTTATGAGATGATGAACATTTAGGTTCTTTTAATGTTTTGGTTATCATGAATGGACCTAAAGGTCTCAATGAATTCCAACAACAATAACAACAAAAATTTAAGGATTTATGTCTAAACCCATTGAAACAAAAGAGTAAGTCAATGAATACAAAGAGGTGATCTTAAGAGTGCCACAGAGAAAACCAATCATTTAGAAAGAGATTGCAACTAGTCAGCTGACTCCTCAACTTTAATGGAAGACAATGTTAATCTTCAATATAGATCCAAAAGTCTTAAATAAAATCTTAACATATAGCAATGTATAAAAATGTGCATAAAATATGACAAGGTTTATTCTACTAGTAATCTATCATTGACTCAAATAAGGATATAATAATATGCCACATTAATGTGTTAAACATTAGAAAATGTGTGATTTCAACAATCATCAAAGCTTTCAGTGAAAATAATCTATTTTTGCTAGTATACGTTTAGAAAACAAGAATAGGTTATATTGTTTGTGCATATAAATTTCAAAAACTTTCAAAATTAAGTAATACCCAATTTTTTAAATTACTACCTATGTGGCAAATCTAAGAAAAAAGCAATTAAATGATAAATAAATAATCAAGTTTAATGTTTGCCTATGAGATGGAAGTGGAATGGGATTTGAAGAGAACAATTGTAGGGTTAGTCTACAAAGATTATGAAAATTTTCTATTTTTAAATTTTGTTTGCTTACAGGGATGTTTGTTTTCTTATGACACTGTAATAAAAACATGTAGATTCTTTGTCTTTTCTATGTATGACATTTCATAATAACATAACAAAATATTATTTTCAAGTACATACTCTCTGATATTTTATATTCTGTCTCCATTTTACAGCCAGACTGTAAGGCATATGGACAACTACCATTTTATTGCACCAGGGAGTATGAACCTGTCTGTGCATCTAATGGAATCTCCTATGGTAACGAATGCATGTTTTGTCTGGAAGTTAGGTAAGGGCACAATAGTAAATATTTTCTCTTCTTGCTTATTAAAATAATAGTGTCAATATGCTACGGACTACTTGCTTCCTCTTAATCTACAAACATACACACAGTAAATAGCTTATATTTTCTACTATAACTTGAAACACTCTTAAACTTTAACTAGGAATCCCCAGTCCTAAAGGGAGGTTAATACTTGCAATGATGCTGACTGGTTTTCCAATACTCAAATTAGTTAACCATACCAAAATTACATAATCATTAAAAAGAACTAGAACTTGATGAATATCCTGTAAAGTGGGAGACTCAGGAGTTAAACTGGGCCTTCCTTGACTCATGGTGGGTACTCGTACTGAATCAGAACTGAGACAGTAGCCCCACACAGAGCAAAGTACATTTGCAGGGGCTGGGAAATAGCAGGGTACAGCTGTTTGAAAAAGTATAGTCCAAGTTTTCCAGCTTATATTTTATTTAAACGCTTAGTCACTGAGAAGCACTTTAGACCTTATGAAGGAATGTGACATATTTTTTTTTCTCTCTCTCTGCAGAAAAAATAAACCTTCTCTTACTTTTGAACACTGGAGTGAATGTTGACCTTTGTCGATGTGGTGCTATACATCCCTATGACATTTCTTGTAATCCTACTCTGCTGTTGGATTCTATGGAATGTAGTCTGTAGTGCCTTAAATTCCTACGGAAGTAGATGGATCCTATTTTAGAGGGAGTATAGATTATAAAAATTGGAATACTCTTGTAATTCCAAAGTACTATTTAAAATTACAATTATCTGTCAGTCTTCAAATATTTGATGAAGCTCTGAAAAACACAGACATGTAATTGTGTATTTTAATGATGAAACAAAGATATTTCTCAATCAATAAATACTTTGCTCAATGAACTTGTTGCACGATATTTACTTTATTAAAATCACTTTTACTTTTGTGATTGCACACTAATGTATAATATAGCTAATGCTACTTAAAACAATGTTGCATGAACTTGTTTTTTAATATATAAAAAAGTATAGATACCTAAGACCCTCCAGATTATAATAAATCTAAATCTTCAGGACAAAGGTCTAGTGTCTAAATTTTAACCAGCACCCTAGGTGAGGCAAGCATTGACAGAAACTTTTAGTCTTAAAAGTTTAACATTTACAGCAATCCAGCTTCCATACATATTTCAGGAAAATTTCACTGTATTTGTTCGGGTACAGGCTAAGCCACCATATTAGTTATACAATATATAAAAAACTTAAGGCTAGGCATGGTGTCTCACATCTGTAATCCCAGCACTTTGGGAGGATCATTCGAGGTCAGGAGTTCAAGACTAGCCCGGCCAACATGGTGAAATCATGTCTCCACTAAAAACACAAAAATTAGCCAAGTGTGGTGGTGGGCACCTGTAATCCTAGCTACTCAGGAGGCTAGGACAGGAGAATCATTTGAACCTGAGAGGTGGGGATTGCAGTGGCCCCAGATCATGCCATTGCTCTCCAGCCTGGACAACAAAGTTAAACTCCATCTCTCGTGCTATAAAATATTTATATATAACTTATAATATACAAAATTTTATATATAATTTATAATTAAATTTGTAATGTATATTATAATTTATAATGTATATTTATTTCATAATTATAAAATATGAATATTATAAATTATATTAAATTATATAGAAATGTATATTAAGATTATAAAAATTATAATTATATAAAATTATAACATAATTTGTATATTATACATATTTATGTAAATATTATATATTACAGATTTTAATTGAGGTAAATTATGCATGTTATTTACCATCTCTACCATTTTTAAGTGTACAGTTGAGTAGTAATAAAATATTTATAGCTTTTTTTCTTACACTCCTCCCTTTATCTTCTCCTTGTCAGCCTCTGCTAGCCACCAGTCTACTCTCTATCTTCATGAGATTCACTTATTTATCTTCCACATTTGAGTGAGAACACTTAATATTTGTCTTTTTGTGATTTGCTTTTTTTACTTAACATAATGACTTATATTTCCATCTATGTTGCAGCAAAGGCTTAGATTTAATTCTTTTTATGGCTGAATAGTATTTCATTGCGTAGTTTCAAATATGTATACCAACTTTTCTTTATTCCTTCATCCATGGAAAGGCACACAGGTTGACTCCATATTAAAAGTAATGTGAATGGTGTTGTCATAAACATGGGAATGCAGATGCCTCTAATATGTTTATATCCTTCCTTTTGGAAATATACCAACTAATGGAGTTGCTGGAACATAAGATAATACTATTTTTACTTTTCAGAGGAACATCCATACTGTACTCCATAGTGAGTATACTAACTTACTGTCACACCAAAAGCATATGAAGTTTTCCCTTTCTCCACATTCTCACCAGTATTTGTTATTAACTCTATTTTTCATACAAACCATTTTTACCTTGGTGAGATGGTATCACACTGTGTTATTGGTTTACATTTTTTGGATGATTAGTGATGCTGAGCATTATTTCATAAACCTGTTGGCCATTTGTCTATCTTATTTTGAGAAATGGCTTTTTGGATCTTTTGCTCATTTGTTAATTAGATTATTATTATTTTTGCTATTGAGTTATTTGAGTTCCTGTGTATTCCAGCTGTTAATTCCTTTTCACATGAATAGGGTGCAAGTATTTTCTCCTTTTCTGTGTGTTGTCTCTTTACAGTGCTGCTTGTTTTCTTTGATGTGAAGGAGCTTTTTAGTTTGATGTAATAGCAGTTGTCTTGTTTTTTCCATTTTTATTTGCTGTTTTTTTTGTTGTTGTTGCCTGTGCTTTTGAGTTCTTATTTAAAAAGTCTTTTCCTGAATCAATGTCCTGTAGCATTTCCCTGATATTTTCTTTTAGTAGTTTTATAGTTTCAGGTTTTAGACGTTCATCTATTTTGGTTTGATTTTTGTGTATTGTGAGAGGTAGGGATCTAGTTTTATTCTGCATGTAGTTTCCTGGTTTTCTCAGCACCATTTATTTAAATGACTATAGTTTTCACATTGGGTATTCTTGGCACCTTAGTGGAAAATTGTTTTCAGTTGGTTGTAAATATGTAGATTCATTTTTATTATCACTCAGTTTAAGTATTGTTTTCTTTGTGAGATGATGCGTTGTTATGTTGCCCAGGCTGGTCTCAAACTCCTGGTCTCAATTTCCCAACTTCATTTCCTACCAACTCAATTTCCCAAGTAGTTAGAATTACAAGCATGACTCACCACACCTTTTATCTCTATTTAGTTACCCTCCTTGTCTATTTTCACGACCTTTCATTTTTGACTATTTTATCTAAGTGTAACTACTCCTGCCCTTCTTTGGTTTTTAGTAACATGGAATATCTTTTCCACCCTTTCACAGTCAATTTCTGTCTGAACTTCTCTGCGCACTGTCATATTATTGGCAAATAGGCATAATTTCCAATTTTACTTTTTTTGTTTCCCTTTTTTATGCCTCTAATTGAATTCCCTTGCCTCCCACCCTGGCTAATACCTAATATCACAGTAAATAACACTGGAGACACGTGCATCATTCACCTTTTACATTTTTGTTTCTATTTAGCAAAAATGCCTCTAGTAAGATGCTGACATCAGGAGGTGTGTGTGTGTGTGTGTGTGTGTGTGTGTGTGTGTGTGTGTGTGTTTGGAAATTGTCCACTATATTTTTAAATATTTTTATTGGAAATTTGTGTTGAATTTGTCAACTGTCTTTACAGCACTTATAGAAATGATTATACTATTTTCTGCCTGAACTACTAATATGTTGTGTTATGTGAATGACTTTCTAATACTGAATCAACTTTGTATCATGGGAATAAATTCCACTTGGACATTGCTTATTTTTTTAATTGATGTTTGATTTTGTTTACTAATATTGTACTTAATAGTGTATGTACTATTATCCTGAAAAAATTATAATGCTGTATTGCTTTTATCAAGTTTAGGTACGTTTATTCTATAATACTTGCTTCATTAAAACATGGAAGTTTTCCTTCATTTTTTTGATTCTCTAAAGTAGTTTATATGACATAGGGAGGTGTCGGAGTTCGAAAGATAAATTCTCTTTTGAAATCCTTTGGCTTTATTGTTTTCTTTTTTCTGTATGATTTCTCCCTTAATAAATGTTTATACTTTTTAGACACTTACCTGTTTAAGTTTTCTACATCTATTGGGATTAAGTTTGATACAATGTTTTTTTTTTCCTTCTTAAAAAATAAAACTTCTTTATTTTTTCTGGAATTTTAAGTTTACTTGTAATGAAATATGTGAAGTAGTCTTTTATAGGTTTGCTAATTTACTATATTTTAACACCACTCCAATTTTATATTGCATTATTTTAGCTTTCTTAAATTTTGCTATTTTATTTAAAAATCTAGATTTTGACTATTTATTCATCTGTTGCTTTATCTTTTAATTATCTTTTGTGTTTCTGTTGTTTAAATTATTTGTTCATTTCTACCTTTCTAATTGGAAATTTAATTCACTTCTTCCTCTTTTCCATTTTTGTTGATATAGGTACTTGTGATTGTGAATTTTTCTGTGATTACTGCATTAAATGTATCAAACTCATTCTAATATGAATTATTATAATGTTCAATTTATTTTGTTAATACTATAAGTTTGTGTTGGGGTTCACTCTGGGTGGCTGACAAAATATTAGGGAAATATTAGGGAAAGTTATAGATTACAGTCTCCAAACTTTTAAAGGGCCAGAAGTTTAGGGAAAAGATAGGGATGCTAAAAGACTTTTCCAGTTTAAGTCTGTTTATCCCATATTCCTTTGTCTCTACTCTAATTTGTTTGCACACGTAAACTTTATGCTGATGGTCCTCTCACAAGGAGGCTTTCTCATACATCCTTTAAAATCTAGGGAGAACCTTCCAGGCCTCTTTCATGTTTGCATTCTGTGCATCTGCAAGCTTAACGCCACATAGAAGCCACCAAGGCTTATGGCTTACAGTGGCTCAAGCTGTACCTAGGGCCCTTTGAGCTGCAGCTGGAGCTGGAGCAGTGGGGATGCAGGAAGCAACCTCTTAGAGCTGCACAGGGCAGTGGGAGCCCTGGGCTTGGCCCCAAACCATTCTTTCCTTCTAGATCTCTGGATCTGTGATGGGAGAGACTTTCTTGAAGGCTTCAAAAAGGTCTTAGAGATCTTCTTTCCATTGTTGTGGCCATTAGTACCTGGCCCCCTTTTTTTTATGTGAATCTCTCTAGCAACTGGTTGTTTCACAGCCTTCTGGGATTCCTCTCCTGAAAATTCTTTTTCCACATGGCCAGGCAGAAAATTTCCCAAATTTTAATGCTCTGCTTCTCTTTTAAATATAAGGTCCAACTTTAAGCCATTTTCTTGTTTCTGTATCCCATTACAGATTGTTAGAAGTAGCCATGCTACATGTTGAATACTTGCCGCTCAGTAATTTCTCCTGCAAGATACCCTAGGTCATTATTCTTCAGTTCAATCTTCCACAAATCCCTAGGATATGGATGTAATGCAGCCCAGTTTTTGCCAAGGTGTAGCAAGGGTGACCTTTTCTCCAGTTCCCAATAACTTTCTCATCTTCATCTGAGATCTCAGTAGCCTCTCCTTTACTGTCCATATTTTTATCAGCATTTTGGTCACAACCATCTGACCAATCTATAAGAAGTTCCAAACTTTCCTTTGCCTTCCTTTCTTCTTCTCCCCCTCCAAAATCTTCCAGTCTCTGGCCATTATCCAGTTCCAAAGCCACTTCCACAGCTTCAGATATCTTTATAGCAATGCCCCACTTCTTGGTACCAATTTTCTGTGTTTATTTGTGTTGCCATAAATAAATGCCTTAATTTGGGCAATTTATTTTTTAAAAATGTTTTTTAACTCATTGTTCTGCAGGCTGTAAAGGCATGG